GAAGAATCGAATGCCGGAATACAAATTCCTTAACTGATTGTTACCTATTAAAGGCAATCAGAGAGATCATTCGAAGGAGGGAGAGAAGAAGACAAGTCTTGGAGTTGTCTGGGGTGTGGAGAATGACAAATGAGGCTCCTATTTATAGCCATTTTTCGCCTGTAACTTTGGGATGGTCGTCTGGGTTGGGACGGTCGTCCCAAACGCGTTTTCCACGTTGTGCCAATCTGGGATGGCCAATCTGGGTTGGGATGGCCGTCCCAAATGCAATTTTAACATAGGCTGGGACCCCCTGAGGTTTGGGACGCGCGTCCCACTTGCACAGGGACAGTTGGGATGGCCGTCCCAACTCTGGGACGGTGGTCTCGGCCTGTTTTGTCCAGTTTTCGCATTCTGGGACCCCCGGGAAGCTTTTCTTTCCTTTTTTGGACGTAGATTGATGCCGATGTGTGTCCGTTGAAGCTTTATCTTCATGTAGGAAGTCTTCTTGGCCTTCATTAAAGTGTCGGGCGAGCTTTATCTCTGTGTAGGAAGTCTCCTTTGCCTTTATTGTGTAGATGGGTGACCTCCGTTTTATTGCGAGAAGTCTTCTTTTCTTTTATTTGGGAAGCCGGGTGAACTTTGTCTTTGTGTGAAATTCCCCTAGCTTTTATTTGAGAGGCCGGGCAAAATTAAGGGTCTACAGCTACACCATTCAGAAATTTATACAATATTTTGTGTTGGGGAAATTTTTAGTAAAATAATTTCACCGAACTCTTTTAGGGTCTATAATTTATTTTCTTTTTTTAGTAATAATTTTGTGTTTTTGAAATTCAATTTTTGTAGTTATGCTAGTTTTTGTCTTAGAGAAATTAAAAAAAAAATCGATTCCACTCTTTCAAGCCCGTGTTTTTTTTAATATTCTAGTAATTTTGTGTTGGGGTATTTTTTATATTAAAAAATTGTACTACACTCATTCAAGCCTGTTTTTTTATTTTTCTAGTAGTTTTGAGTAATATTTTTACATTTTAGGAATTTCGTTTTCGTAGTGACACCAGTCAGAAATTTGTACAATTTTTTGTGTTGGAGAATTCTTTAAATAAAAAATTCAACTACACTCTTTCAAGATCATTTTGTTTTTTATTTTTCTATTTGTTTGGAGTAATATTTTTACATTTTACGATTTTAGTTTTTGTAGTTACACCCGTAAGAAATTTGTACAATTTTGTGTTGAGGACTTTTTTTTTATCAAATTTCACTCCACTCTTTCAAAGCTTGTTTTTTTTTTCTAGTAGTTTTTCTGGAGATTATTTTTTAGTAAAAAAATTTCACTGTGGTGTTACAAGCTCATTATTTCATTTTTCGATTTGTGTTGAGTAATTTTTTTTAATAAAAAAAATTTCACTGCACTCTTTCAAGTTCATTTTTTTTCTAGCAGTTTTGAGTAATAATGTGACATTTTTCGAATTTAGTTTTCGTAGCTACGCCATTGAGAAATTTATACAATTATTTGTGCTTGGGGAACATTTTTAGTAAAAAAATTCCACCGAACTCTTTTAGGGTCTATAATTTATTTTCTTTTTTTAGTAATAATTTTGCGTTTTTGGAATTCAGTTTTTGTAGTTATGTCGGTTTTTGTCTTGGAGAAATAAAAAAAAATCGATTGCACTCTTTCAAGCTCGTGTTTTTTTTTAATATTCTAGTAATTTTGTGTTGGGGTATTTTTTATATTAAAAAATTGCACTGCACTCATTCAAGCATATTTTTTTATTTTTCTAGTAGTTTTGAGTAATATTTTTACATTTTAGGAATTTCGTTTTCGTAGTGACACCAGATCAGAAATTTCTACAATTTTTTGTGTTGGAGAATTCTTTAAATAAAAAAAATTCAACTGCACTCTTTCAAGATCGTTTTGTTTTTTATTTTTCTATTTGTTTTGAGTAATATTTTTACATTTTAGGATTTTAGTAGTTACACCCGTAAGAAATTTGTACAATTTTTTGTGTTGGGGAATTTCTTTTTATAAAATTCCACTCCACTCTTTCAAAGCTTGTTTTTGTTCTAGTTGTTTTTCTGGAGAATTTTTTTAGTAAAAAATTTTCACTGTGGTGTTTCAAACTCATTTTTTTATTTTTTTGATTTGTGTTGAGTAATACTCTTGCTTTTTAGGAAATTAGTTTTCGTAATTTCAGCGAGTGTGAAATTTCTACACTTTCTTTATGTTGGGGATTTTTTTTAATAAAAAAAATTTCACTGCACTCTTTCAATCTCATTTTTTTTCTAACAGTTTTGAGTAATAATGTGATATTTTTCGAATTTAGATTTCGTAGCTACACCATTGAGAAATTTATACAATTTTTTGTGTTGGGGAAAATTTTAGTAAAAAAATTCCACCCAACTCTTTTAGGGTCTATAATTTATTTTCTTTGTTTTAGTAATAATTTTGCGTTTTTAGAATTCAGTTTTTGTAGTTACGCCAGCTTTTGTCTTAGAGAAATTAAAAAAAAATGATTGCACTCTTTCAAGCTTGTGTTTTTTTTTTAATATTCTAGTAATTTTTTGTTAGAGTATTTTTTATATTAAAAAATTGCACTGCACTCATTCAAGCCTGTTTTTTTATTTTTCTAGTAGTTTTGAGTAATATTTTTACATTTTATGAATTTTGTTTTCGTAGTGACACCAATCAGAAATTTCTAAAATTTTTTGTGTTGGAGAATTTTTTAAATAAAAAATTCAACTGCACTCTTTCAAGATCGTTTTGTTTTTTTATTTTTCTATTTATTTTGAGTAATATTTTTACATTTTAAAAATTTGTACAATTTTTTGTGTTGGGAATTTTTTTTATCAAATTTCACTCCACTCTTTCAAAGCTTGTTATTTTTCTAGTAGTTTTTCTGGATAGTTTTTTTAGTAAAAATTTTTTTTAGTAAAAAACATCCTTAAGTTTGAAGAATTTGTAAAAAACTCGCTACGGATGTTCTTTTCTATATTCTCTATTTTATCTCTTTCTTTTACTGTTTATCTTTGTGCGCATTAGATATTAAGGTCATGTAGATATTTAATTACTGCAAGTAGATAAATAAATAGGGTAGAAACATGATTTTAATGTCTTTATTTTAAAGAATAGTCCATCATAGGGAACCCGAAAGGGGCATTGTGGGGGTGTTAATATTGACTAAAGTTGATTTTTCTTAAAATCAACGCCTTCTTTTTTCTTTTCCAATATTTTTCTATTAAAATATTGGTGGAGACTCCAGAACCCTTTACGAAAACCTCGCTTTAAGGTTCAGTCCGATCATCGGATAACATAAAAGCTGTGACCACATAATTTTACAAAAAACACGGGGGTTTAGTCATCCATCGCAACCGTTCATAAAAATCAAAATCCCCGCACCGATACGGCGATGACCGCGTCTTTTTTACGGCGGCGACATGACTCAAAAGACTCAAGCAAGTGCATACAAGACAAAAATTCAAAGACAAGAAAGAAGGAAAGATGAAGGTATTTATCTCTTGAAGACCTCCATGTCTAGCTCATGATACCAAATTGATGAAAATATTCTCCCTCCTTCCACCATGGATGACACCAAAAGCTTCACACTTTGAGCACCCAAGGTGAATCAAAATTCTTTTCCAAATTTCTAAAGAAACTTGGCACTAACTCCTCCAAGAAAGGTTCCTTGTTAGGAGAAAGAAATCTCCAAAGACACTTGAAAAGTCAATTTGGGGTACAAGCAAAATATACAAGTTTCACACACAAGTTTTGACTTCATTCCAATATGTCAAAGAAGCTACACAAGGGGTTATATTTATAGTATTTCTCCTCTCATTCACTTTAAGAATTTAGAGATGTGGGACGTATTCTACTCTTATGTGAAGCACAAAAAATGAGCTCTAGAAGTCTCACATTCTTTTCTTCTATGTTTCCCTAAGAATTTATATATCATATTGAACACAATGGATTACAAGCACTTGTGTTGGTGCAGCCAATGATCCCTCTTGTAGTCCTCCATCAACATGTTACAAATTGGATACAAGTATCCAGAAGATATTACTACATTGCTTAATGAAAACAAATAACATACTCAAATATGTTATTGATCTATTTATTTGTTCCTAATCCTAATATGCATCAAAAGACATCGGAAAGACCTACAACTAATCATATTCAAAATGAAATGGTTATACAAATTAGAAATAAACCAAAAAAATGTTCATTTTGTCAAAATGAATAACATAATTGTACAAATTATCAATTTTGACAATAAATTTGTATTTGTTTTTTCAAATAATGTACTATTTTAATATATATGTACTTAATTAAATTTATCCATATCTTTATTTCTCTTGCATATTTTTATTTTCTATTTCAAATTAATAACTAAATCGAAATTAACTATTTTATGAATAATATATTTTAAAAATATCAAATAATCTTATTTTTCAAAAAAAAAAATAACATCAAACTCATGATAGGTAACACAAGGTCAATAAAAAATCATGCTACCTAGTATGATTTTAACAAAAAAAATTCTTCAATTAAAATTGTGATATGTAACACAATTTTACCTTTGACGACCATTCTCATTCTTGAAAGTACTGTTTCTTTGTATTAGAATCGTGGTTTCAAATACGATTTAACCTATTTCTGTAATTTTTTATATTTTCGATCCTATTATGTAATATCAATTTTTTAAAACCCCGTTAAAAAAGCCTGAAGAACACTTAATAAAAATTGGACCAGGTCAATATCTCAATAACAACTTTCATTATTGTAAATTTAATTCCGATTGACTAATCTTAATCTACAGTGCTTTGCGAGTCTTTTTCCTCTGACAAATGTAGGTTAGTGAGTTTAATTAAATTAACCATTCTACTCATGTGAATGTTACATCAAGTATATGGTATTAACGGTAGCAAAACACAATTACATTTGAAGAGTTTAATCAAAAAAAGATTCGTCACAAATTTCTTCCCAAGTGGAAAAAACAACAAGAGTTTTATGAGAGCAAGTTTCTCCATCAGCAAGTGGGTAGATCAGGAGGTGGGGGAGGCAAGGTAGAAGATGGAGTATGTCCATTCTCAATTTCGAAAGCCGTGCTCATCCCCCATGACAGATGATTGTCGACATGGCAGTGTATCAACCATATACCTGCAAATTCTCAAAAGTGAGTGAAGAACATGTTAGCATATAATGTACAAGATAACCAAGTTAATTACATTCATCAAGGCATAATTAACTAAGTAATTAATTCATTTCATAATAAAAAACATGTGAATTCACTTCGAACAAACCTGGATTATTGGCTTTGAATCTGATCACAGCCCACCCTCCTTGAGGCACAGCAATTGTATTTCGCATCTGGGGGTTCACAAAATTAAATTTTACCCTGTCTCGCGTAGCATTGAAGTTTCCAAATCCCTGAGCTAGGACGAAGAAGTTGAATCCATGAATGTGTATGGGGTGGTTCTCTGGATCAAGCAACGCAGTGTTTTGCAACACAATCTCCACAGTCGAATTGTACTTCAACTTCTTCACCTTGGTTGACTTGGGTGCAAATAGGAGAGAGAAGTCAAGGCTATTATTTGTGTTGGTGTAGTCAAACTCTAGGGGAGGCTTATTTGGAAAATCCTTGGTGTATATGCCACTTTCATTATAGTAGAATGCTTCCAACATGGACATTTTCTTCTGACTAGGAAGAACAAAAGATTCATTGTTCATGCTGGCAGACACTCTAGTCTGTTGCGGGCCAAAACATGTCTCATTCTGTGGACAAGGTGCTAGATTCAACCCATATGCAATGAACATTTTCTCATCCACTTCATTTGGACATTGGCGCCAGTGAGGCCTATCTACAAGCCCAGTTAGTTCAGTGTAGAACTGATTAGCCGTTTTTGTGTCATTTGAAAGTGGCATGATTGGCATCAAAGGAGTGGTTGATTTGGATCCTTCATAGACAACAAGGCCTCTGGTTATGGTGTTGTCAAATGCTGCTAGAATCGTGTTATAAATTGACGCAGCCATGTAATAAGAACCAATTGGTTGATTTGTTTTGAGAAGCACATCGGTGGTTTGACCAGGAGCAATCACCACCACATTGGTGGCATAAGGTGTTGTGTACACTGCATCAATGGCGACCACAGTAAGCCTGTGATTCGCAACCTTGAAGAACATTTGGCTTATGAGGTTGGTGTTGATTATCCTTAACAAGTAGGTCCTACCAGGCTTAACCTTCAGTTTGAACATCTCTACAAAATCAATGGGAAAAAGAAAAAACAATTTTAAATGAATGAATCTTGCGATTTATTTTAATAGAACGAAGACTTAATTTTATACTTTACTACTTAATATCTTCATTTTATAAATTTTATCATCCAAATTCATTTTTCTGGAATATTTTAACTATCATCTTTTTTTGTAATGTTCGTACCGTCCTCAAATATCTAATAAGATCATGATGTGTTATGGAAAAATGTTTTTGAAAAAACAAACTTTATAACAAAACTATGTTGTTTCAATATTTTCTTTTTTATACATCAACGTGTAACTACACATTTAACATGTTGGTAAGATACGTCAAAATTACAAAATATAATGATAAAGTAGGTGCAAAAAAAATTAAACTTGATTTTTCTATAAACTAAAATTAATTTATGCATAAGTTAATTTGTAGAGACGGTTTCCTGTAATTTTTCGAAATAATTTTTCAATTGTATATAAACTAATTTTAATGTATAAATCTCATATTTTTCCTCTCCAATATAATAAATGTAGGGTAGTGACATACGATCTTGAGAGCAATTGTATAGGTCACCAGGCAGGCCATTGATCATAAAAGCAACGGATGGGGTAAGTGTTTGGTCATTAAACTCCATAACGTTGGATTTCCACCATTCACCTACGTACAAAGGGGAAAAAAATTAAAATATAGAAAATAGCACATCACTAGAGAGAGGGTGTGAGGTTTGCAATAGAAAATAGAAGACTTTGACGTACCTAATACGATGGGAACTTGGTCGTAGGGCTTAGGAAATGCATAAGGATGGTTTCTCCTAGGATGGATAAAAAGTGCACCATGGACTGTTGCACGAAGGAATGATGCATGAGCATGCCACCAAAGAGTTCCCTCTTGTCCTTCGATTTTGAATCTGTAAGTGAAGTTATGATTGGGACGAATTGGACACTGAGTGACATATTCAGGACCATCTGCCCATCCACTTAGAAGTTGAAATATTCCATGCCTGCGTAATCAAATTGTTTGTACAATGAATCAAACATTGACATTATCAACAAAAGTTAAATATTATAAATACATTTTCTGATACTCTCTTGTGTTAAAGAAATCAGACTTTGAAAACAATTTTGTATTTTCTGTTTTTAAACTTTGGAAAGAGAGAACATGTTGAAAAATTGTTTTTTTTTCTGCGTTCTGCATAAAACTTTGAAACAAGAAACATATAAAATAAAGTCACAGTTTTATTAAAAAGTGAGAGTAGAAAATGAAAACAGAGAAAAAGTATAAGTAAACGTCCTTTGTTGGTTTGTTGCAAAACAAGTAAGAATACAATAATATATTTTGCTGTCAATATCAGGTATGTCATACTTTGCATCTTACATAGAAATACGTTGTTTTAACTTATTAACCTATCACTGTTTTTCTTCAACTTTTTAAAACTTTGTTATACTAATTAAGAAGGAGCAATTACCAATGCAGGGTAATGTTGTATGGTGACTTGTTCAACACATGGACCACAAGAGTGTCACCCTCTCGCACTCGGATAGTAGGTCCAGGAAATTGGTCATTCACTGCAGTTATAACTTGGTTGTTACATAACCTATGAATCGTCATGTTCGCCACCTACAACATTTCAAAACCATTACCAAAGAATATAGTAAGAAACCAAAATCATATAGCTGAGTTTTGGTCACCAATTACATGCATGCACAGTAAGATCCTACAGATAAAAACTACAAGACATTTATTGTGTTTAGAGCATGCATGTTTGGCTGGTAAATAATTTCCCCAGAAACTTATATCAAACAAGAAAAATATCATTTGGCCAAAGAAATTACATTGAATGTGTATTCCACAATACCCGCAGAAGCCACAGAAGACACAGCTAACAGAATGAAAACCCATGCTGGAGCAAGCGTGAGATGTCCCATGTCCAAATGGAAAAATTACTGAAGATGTGAGTCTGAATGTGAACTTAGATTTATTTTTGTAGTGGATCAATGCGTGTGTTTCCAAGGTTGTGTATGTCCTATATATATGCACTGATTTGGCGATTATGTTTTTATGATTTCGTGTTTACTTTGCAAAAGTGGGAATAAAATATTGAAATTGTGTTTTCGTAGCAAAAGCAATTGATTTGATTCAGGGTTGTATTGTGGTAGGAAGTTCGTTGTTTAGATATGAAGTTTTGCTCACGAGGGCACACCCATGAAGGAAAAATTTGGACAGGTCAAAATAAATATATTTTCACTAATTATGCTTCTTATTACGGGGCCAAATAATGGGATAATGATTATTTTATCATTGAGCTTAGCAGTTGGTGAAGTTCAACGATATGTCCAGCTAGAATTGAGTTTGTTTAGGTTATAATTGAGACTAATCTATTAATAATGTCACAATAATGAATTGATCAATTCAAAGACAATCTTTAAAATCAAAATTTAATCTATTTTCAAGCTATTCTTTTAGAAAACTGTTCAATGGTAAGCCTCCCTTTTATTTTGTTTCATTTTATTTATTACATGTTGCTTGTGGATCTCATGGAAACATTCATTTGGAAGCAAAGGCAGAATTAATGTAAACATAAGTAGAAGAAAAACAGATTATACGTGTACATATTTCTATCAATTTCGGTTAATTATTTAATCATTAGAAAGGTGGCTTGTATACGTTTCATTGTCTAAGAATAATCATTAATTATTTGAAGAAGATAAGAATTATATTTTAAATAATGCATGGTTTCAAATCCAAGAACTTGTGGAAAATCATTGGTATTTTAAGTTTAGTGAGAACGCGTCGCTTGAATAGCTTGCTTTCAGATAGACAAAATAAGATTTGCAACCCAATTATAACAAGGATGGAGTTCAAATAAAATATGCAATAGGAAAACTACCATTATAATTTATGAATCACAAAGTTAATTAGGTATTGAAAGAAGGCTAAAACATTGAATTATATTGCATCGTTGAGGAAAATTACACGCATTTGCACTAGTTATCTTAGTATATCGAACAAGTTGTAAATTGAAGAGAAAAACTTTGATAATTGATGCATTTTTGGTTTTTTCAAGCTAGTTCATAGATCAAATGTTCCCGTTTCCACCCATTTAGATGCAACAGTGAAACTTAAAAAAAAAAGAAAAGAGATTAATTATGTTGAAAGATTACATAATAACCTGTCTAAATCTTCCATTTCAGTGAAAATAATTTTGCTTATGATTATAATGCATCTAAATAAGCCTTTATTTGGTGTAAAATAGGCATATTCACATAATTTTTGTTTATTTGAGTAGATACCAATGATTTGGTTTTACAAATTATTAAATTGATCAAAACATAAGAAGTACAAAAATAAGATATATTAGAGAAAAATGTTGTCCATTCTAATATTAGTCCAAACAAAGAGAACCTGAAATGAGATTACATGTTTTTCTGTCTATAGCTTATAGTTCGAATTATGATAGTACAAATATCACCAAAAACACCATGCCACACTTCCTCCAAAATATATCATCTATGTACTCACAAAGGCAACACCTTCATATCGTAATATATATCATCTATTAAAATAACTTGTAACTTAACTACACATAATTGCGGAGGATTATGTTGTAACATGTTGCTTGGTTGCTAAAGTAGTTGTTAAATCATAACCCAACCCAGAAATGTGATTTTCCTGAAAATAAATCACTATTAAAATAGATAGTTTTCACTAAAAAGGGGTCAGTATTTATATTTTTTTCTTGCATTGAAGAATGGTAAAAAAAAAAAAAGCTCAATAACTAAGACGCTATTTTGGTATAAATAAAATACTTTATCGTGATTTTAATATAAAAAATTTCAGTGAAGTTTGATTTGTCTGATTTTTTAAAAATAATTTAATTCCTCAATTTTTTTATATTAATTTCTCTTAGTTTCTAAACAACATATCTGAGAAATTATGATTTTATATATACCATAAAATACTACGTCTGAAGGACAATTTTTTTTTTTTAATTTTGAGAAAAATAATTTTTTAATTTAAAAGATTAAAATTGTATCAATTCAAAAATTCAAAGAATAAAGACATATTTGAGCTTGAATAAAGTAAGGACTTTAACTCGTTATTTTCAAACAAATTGAGACTATCATTATTATTATTATAAGTCAAGTTGAGGAGCATGTTGATTTAAAGCCTAAGAATTACCATGAATCTTTATATTAGACCTTTATGAAAAAATAAATTATGAGTTCATCAACATTCATCGAAAGAGACTATTGAGAGAAATATATGAATTGGTATACAAACATGATGTACTATAAGATGTCGTGGTAAATTGAGAGTGAAATGTTTATGAATATCAATTTATAGTCAATTTATCACTCGAAAGATCATACTTAAAAATTTTAGAATGTTGTTGTCTAATATCGATAGATGCTTCTCAAAATAATCAAACAATTGACGATAATTAGTAATTGTAATTACTGTGTCGTACTATCATGATAATTACAATTTAGTTGACCTTGTGTTTTCCACGATTTTTCTTTTTTTCATGTTAGATCGTAGCCTTATTTATTTTAATTTTAAATTTAATATTTAATATTTAATACAAAAGTTTGAATTGATTTTCTTAGAAACTATTTACAGTCAAAATTATAGTGTGTACACGTCTATGTGTTGCTTCTTTAGCATGTTGTTTACTTTTTTGTGCAGGAGAATATTACAATAAATAAATATTGACTTTTTTATTATTTATTATTAAATGATGAATATTAAAATACGTAATAGTAAGATAAGTTTTTAATGAATTGTGTCTTGGAAAGTACTACTCTTGATAATTGGTTTGATTGTGTGATTTATATTTGTTTTTTCTTGCACACATAAACATTTCTCATTACACTCTACACACATAGATAGAATCCAATGCAAAGTCATTTTTAGAGTTATTAATTAAGAATTAGACTCTAATTAGTATAATTTTCATCTAATTGTTAAACTTTTGGTATATTAAAGATTATTTTAAAAAAATAATTCAGAAATTAATTTTAGTTAAAATTTATTTTTATTTTATTAATATAATAACTATCTTTTTTCTTTAAATAAATTGATATTTAATTTATAGTTAATAATACACACGTAATAAGTTAATTTAAGAAAGACATTAAAAAAAGTTATTTTATAGCAATTAAAACTGTACCTACTCGATTTTAATCACCAGTTATTTTATCAAAATATTTAATATTATCGAAAATAGTTGATATTATCCGAGGTTGTAGACATATATATCACCGATAAAATATAAATAAATATTGTATGATTTAAGTTATATTTACGTACTACTCTATAAAATATTTGATATCTCAAAAAAAAATATATATATATATATATATATATATATATATAATGTTATTATTTATTTATTCACTAATTTAAGTATCATCAAATTTTTGTAAGTAATTCTCCTGTCATACTCGTTAGTGGCAAATCGAGAAAAGCGATCGAAATCGAAGGGAAGAAATATGACTCGATAAGATAAACAAAAGTTCATTCGATGTCTAATTAGAAATACGTAGCATATAACATCGAGAAACACAATCGAGAATCGAATGAATTGTAATCAAATGACTGTTGTCGAATAAAAACTAAGTCATATAAGATCAGGATTAAAAAGGAATCGTGAGCAATTCGAAGTTCTCGAAAAATATAGAATCGAGAGTAAAGAAAGCCAATGGGGACATCGAGATTTTGGCCAAATTGTGAAGGGAAGTAAGTCGAATGCACGTATAGAGAGCAGTTTTGAAATCATGGGTAAAAGTCGGAGATCGTGAGAACGTGGGAAACTAGAAGATAAACTGCCATACGCACGTAGAACGTGGTAGCAGTCGTATTAACTGCTCTTAGAAGGCTTGAAGGATGCCCTATAAATAGAGCAAAGAAGGAAGGAACAGGGGGAGCAGAAATTGGCAGAGACAACAGAAACGCTAGTGAAAAGTCTACCGGAGAAACGATGAACACCATGAAGCTTCTGGCAATCTGGATTTCCTTGCTCACCGAGTACATTTACCGCTTTCTGTATTTTCCTTGGTAATTTACTTTGATGCAACTTAAATTCAGCAGTTTTATGTTTCTGTATTTCGATTCCTTGTCCATTTCAATTCAATGAAAATTTGAGTTTCTGCATTTAGATTTCCTGTTATTTAACATTCTGCAAATCTCAATTTCCTGTCATTTACTTTTCTTGCAATCTCGATTTCTTGTCATTTATATTTGTGTTGTTTTCGATTCCTCGCTATTTACAATTAATGCAAGTTTGGGGTTCTCGCATTTTACATTTCCTCGCAATTTAATATTCTGCTTTTCTATTCGATAGTCTAAATTTTTTCGATACTTTAAATACAAAATACCAAAAACAGCATTTTCGATATCCTGGAGTTTTCGATTCTCATACACGTTTTCGATTGAAAACCAAATTGCTAGCCTAAGTAAAAAGAGCTTACGTGGTAGGATTTTGATTAGGACCAAAACACCCTTAGAATCGAAATCGATCGAAATTCCACCAGAAACAAATTGGCGCACCAGATAGGGGTTACAAAATTGGTTAGTTCGAGAGTGTATGAGATTAAGGAGTGGGAGGGTCATGAGTCAGAGTTCATCAAATAACCAAGGTAACAGTGAGGGATTAAATGGGTCACACCCACCAAATATTGGGGGGCAAAGTCATAATGATAATATACCTGTAGTATCGGCAACTGTGAGCATGTCGCTACCTGTGAGTAGTGAACAAAATTCAGGTACATTAGCAAACACCCAAGTAGGATCTAGTACGGTGATACCAAATAATATGCAAACTATAGGAAATCCCACAACCACATATGTAGGGCCACGTACGAGTGTAAGACCGTCCGGGTTTTCACTTAATAATGTGAGTGGGGCTGGAACTTCTTCAATGCAT